CCCAGTCATGACATGGGGGCATCGCGAACTACGAAGCTTCTCGGCATGGATCTCGATCCACGACTGACGCTAAATGTGGCGGCCACCAAGCAATGCGCTGCCACTTCGCAACGGATATCGCAGCTACGCTGCATAGCGCACAAAGAGGCGGGACCATCTCCACATGACCTACGCACGTTCGTCATTGGATACGGTGCTTCCAAATTACGCTATGGCAGCGAGCTCATATGGGCAGTAGCGACGGATTCAGCGAAGAATGAGATGCAGAAGACGTACGCTACTCTAGCACGCATTGTCAGCGGAGTTCCGAGCACTGTTGACCCGGAATCCGCACTACTGGAGGCTAATATACCGCCGCTCCACGTCCTTTGCCTGCGCGCGCGGCTCTCAATATTTGAGAACACACGCGCATGTCAGATGGACTGGATGCGGAGACCCCCGCCTGAGCCTTCGCCTCGCGCTGGTTTCCGCATCTCGCCATTACCTCGGGACGAGCTATATGCCTTCGTAGACGCATACACAAAGGACTATGGCATCACCCAGAGCTCACCACGCGAAGAGCGGTTCTTTCGCAGCTCCATTCCTCCCTGGTTTGCGGCCTCCGCTCACCGGGTCACCATCGGTGTGGGACTTCCGATAGACCACTCAATAACGGACGAAGAAGAGCTGATAAGGGAAAAGCGCAGAGTCAGCGAGGAGGCTCTGGCGCTGCACAGCCACCGCTCGTGGATACTCGCGACCGATGGCGGTGTCGACGTTCCCAAGTCAGCAGGGGTTGGAATACTGCTTTCATCCCTCAACTCATCGGAGATAATAGAAAAGGCCAGCATAAACTGCGGTGCACGCCCATGCAGCTACAGGACGGAATCCCGTGCGCTGCTTCTAGCCCTAGAGAAGCTGATGATTCCTCGTATCCGCCACAGGCGTAAAACCCTGCTTGTGGTTACGGACAGTCAGTCTCTTCTAGCGGCTCTAAACAAGGGCCCGCTCAGTCAGACAGACTGGACGGAGGATCAGATCTGGCAGCGTCTCTTAACACTGACGCGTGCTGGCTGGTCCGTGCACCTGCAGTTTTGTTACGGACATTGCGGAGTACATGCTAACGAGCTTGCAGATCAGTATGCGACGCAGACTATGGAAAGTGGACAATACACGGAGCAAGGAATCGCACCTTTATGGCATACGGATCTGCTGACATGTTTGACTACCCAGCTCACCAACAAGTGGCGTAGCACCATTCGTCAAGACACTCATCGCTACTTGCTTTGCGGCACAAGGCCATCAGATCTCAGCGGTAAGGACCTGATCACTCAGGAAGTTCTACACCGTCAGGAACTGGTTCACCTCGCAAGGGCAAGGTGCGGGGAATCTGAGCTCTGGGGCCGACTATACTGGGCCGTGAGGGATTGCACGAACCAATGCCGATTCTGCAACATCTCACCGGAACAGTCTGCATATATGCGCTCTAACAACGATCCAACTGCACCGGGGACGGACACTGTTCCCCCGTCGGCGAGGGAGGAAGACGTCTCTCCAGTAAGGAGACGGACCCTCACACGCCGTCGGAAGGAGAAGTGTCCGCACTGTGATTCCACATTGACGGGATTCTCGGGTCTCGTCAGTCACTGTCGGTCATTCCGTCCGGAACATCCTCCACCGCTTCCCGAGCTCAAATGTGATTTCTGTGACATGGTTTTCCCCACACGGAGAAGCACCGCACCGCACAGAAGTCGCTGCGCACACAACCCAGACGCCACACGGCATCGAAACAGCAGTGCCAGGAGGCGATCTCTGCTGCCGCAGGATCAGCCAGCTTCCACTAGCACGCCAATTGGCCCGCAGGAAACCTTGCACCATCTGCTCCCAGAATGTCCAGGCACCTTGGCTGTGCGTCAACGGCTGGGCATTGAACAGGACCTTTGCCTCGGAAAGTTCTCTCAATGGCAGTTGCTTCATAGCAGGAAACTTTTGTCGTTGCTCGACCACCTCTTCGGCACTCAGATGGCATTGTATAGCTAGACGCGCTGGTAAGAGTAGAAAAAAAAAAAAAGAAAGAGAAGCTTAAAGTGTCCGCTGCCACAGCATGCCGCCGTTCAAAAAGTAAAATGGGTGCACTCAACCACAAAATCAAAAAGGAAAACAAAACAAAAAGCCGAAGCGTGGGACGACCAGCACACACACACTCTCATTACTCCCGTAAAGCAAAACACACACACACAGGGAGAGAGAGAGAGGTCGCCCACTCAATGCAATAAAAACAAAACAGAAACAGTTACGGTGCTCCGTCCATGCAGCCAGGCAGGACGGCAGCGGTGCGTGTCGTGCAAAAGAGAGCACCAACGGGCCTGCATGGGTGTGCATGCATATATACAATGGGCACATTATTGTGTGTGCCTCGTGGGGTGAGGTGAGGGCGAGAGTCCATGCAAGGGGACACACACACACAGAGAGAGAAGGAAGAGTGTGTGTGCGGGCGGTGCATGGCTCTCTCACACTCACTCTCACGCGGCCACCACCGCAGCAGCAGCCGCACACGCAACAACTAGAAGAAGCAAAAGAGGGGAGGTGGTGTGCGAGACCGCGGTGCTGCCGTCACTTTCACGAGATTTAGATGTATTATTTGTTTGATAGTTGTTGACTGTTGCCGTTTTTTGTGCTGCCTCAGTGGATGTGGGAGTGTCGTTGGTATTACCATCTTCGAGCCCGTCTTGTGGTTCTTTGCCGTTAGGCCGTTGATCACCGTCGTCAATTATGTCCTCCTTTTTCTGGGTTCCATCACTGCCACTTTCAGGTACGGATGACGCTGTTTTTTCCGCTGGACGAGTTGTAGTTGCATCCTTCACCGAAACTGGTGTGTTCGTTCCTTGTCTGTTTTGGTTTGGCTCACCATTTCCTAAAGGTTTTCCCGGTGCTTCAGGCGCCGTTTTAGCGTTTGAAGGTGACGTTGTGGTTTTTTTTTCTGTTGCCTTCTGTGTGCCTGTTGATGCTGTTGGGCTTGTTTCTCCTTCTGGAACGGTCCTTGCTGGTGATAGCTCTACTGGCGGTGGTGGCTTCGTCGTAGTAGTGTAACTCGTATTTGGCGTTTTGAATGCCTGACTTGATGTCTGTGCCTTATTTTCCTCAACACCTTGTGTATTTTCCTGTACCTTTTTGTTTTCTGTACCTGAATTACCAATCACAACTTGTGTCTGTGCGGACTCAGTTGCCAAAACTGGTGACTCTCGATTATCCTTCGTCGGACTTGGTGTCCCTGGCGGAATTGGCGCACCTGATGAAGTAACTGCTGTCCTATCTGTTGAAATAGGCGGATCGTCCTTTGGATTTGTTCCCGCTTGCAAACCAGACAAACCTTCGGACTGATGTGCATGATTTCCCGAGGGTGTTGACCTTGACGTATTGGCTGAAATTCCTGTGTGCTGCTCAGGAATCTCTAACGCAAGGTCCGCATCACCGTCTCGTTCCACTTTCGGTGCGGGTGGAACATCTGATGCCTTTGGCGCAGGGGAGTCTGAACTTTTAACATCTTTCTCTCCGCCAGTCGCTCTCACACACACGGACGGGCAGCAGCACAGGGCAAGCACCAACAGGGCGCACAGCAGACGGCACGTCATCATCGTGAGTGTGGTCGTTCAGTGGTGTGGAGCTGATCTGCACAGTGAGGGACATGGAGAGCAACAGGGGAGACGAGAGGTGCGGCAGACACACACAGAGGGCACACCACATGAGGAGAGGGCAGCAGCCAGGCATGCACCGTACGCCGCACACCACGCACGACACACACTCCAATCCATGGCAGCAGGCACACACACACACACAGCCCTGCCGCAACACCAACACACACAGATAGAGGAGGGAGGAGCAAACAGGAGCGGCACACAAGGCTCTACCGCATGCGCATGCGGCGAGAGCGGTCCGTCGTGCCGGCACCCCTCACGGAGGGCACGCACACACACAAGAGGAGGTGCAGCGCACACGGCAACACAAAAGCAAAGTAACAATTAAAAAGGAGATTCTCGCACACCACGCGAATTGTTGGCCCACGGGAAGTGCAGCCAATATCCATCACAAAGAAAGTTCAGTTGTCATCGGCCTTTGTTCATATTCAGCGCACACCACTTCATGCAGGTACGGACACCACAGCAGCAGCAGCACGCATACGAGACAATAAGACGCAAAGTATGGGAGGTGGTGTAGAAGACCGCGGTGCTGCTGTCGCTATCGGCGGTGGTCGTTTTTCCTTCTTCATTGTTGGTGAATGATGTTGTCGTTAATTCTTCCGGCTGTTTGACTGGGAGTGATGTTAAAAGACAATTGTTTCCCTGGCAGTCATTTGATTCCTTTCCTGTCCCGTCGATTTCTGTGCTCGCCGCTGGAGTCGGCGGGATGCTGACAGGGCTGCCAGCACCATCTGACCGAACTTGGTCTGCTGTGTTCTCGTCCCCAGTCCCATTCCACCAGCTGCTGGGGCGGTGCAGCGGTCATACCAGAAGCACCAGCAGTGGGCTGGGGTGCCGACCAGATCAATCAATGGGTGTGTCCGCAATCGATAAGAACTTGCATCGACAGGGACGTCTGCACCGACGCTCGGGGATGGGGAACAATAACGGCAAACAGAACAGCGCATGCCACCCAAAACATCCGCAAGTCGTATTGGCGCGGGCTGCGTTGTGGTCTCGCGGCGACGGAAATGAATGGCGGTGCGAGTGGCGTTCTCGTCGTGCGTCCCCTCCGGCCACTCCTCGCAGTAAACCTATTGCCTGAGTACATTTGATTCCGCCTGAGAGACCAATTAAAAATGTTCTTCCCTCTAGATGTATTGTACTCACATGTGGCGACGGCCGCCCGCAATGCCTCCAGCGGATACACCTGCGATGCACGGTCGACACATTCCACATCCACTCGTCGTGCACCATCCAACGCCATCTTTTCCTTGGAGCTACGAACAACACCGGGCACACACTCCTTTGCGGCCGTCCACGGCATGCGCCTGCGGTGAGGATCCGGAGAAAGTCCCATTCCTTTTGTGCACAAAGTCATGGAGCTGCCGCCGTTAAGCGCGTCCCGGCGAGGGCAACAGCAGCCCGCCGCAGCACTCACGAATGCCCACCCGTTGTCTCCTGTGCAAAAAAAAAAATAAACATTGGAGGGAAAAGCGCGCACAAATGCCCTGGCAAAAAAGGTCAGCACCAGTGGATGAACACTGAAGCCGTGGGTGCATGCTCCACAAACGTCCTTCCTTTTTTAGCCGCCTTCTTAGTTGCATGGAAACGGCCCGCAACTGCACACGCAAGAAAACAAGAGTAAAAGGCAAGCAGTGCAGCCGTTAAAACACACATACGCGCATCGTATGAAACGCTTCATGGAGAGGAACGGAATGCAGGAAGAAGCGCACACAATCCCCACAGACACCCGCAATAGTGTGTGGTTGCTTCTGTTCCACTCTTTGGCCCTCGATGCATTCCTGCGCGTGTCTCGCCCGTGAGTCACAGCGCCGTAGGATGCCAAGTCCCTGCACAAAGACACCTCAGGACGCGGCAACGAGATTTCCCCAATGACCACCTCACGGCCATACCTTTTGGATACCTCATGGACCGAGCGCCTCTCGCTGCAGGCCACACCACCCAAAACAAGCAGCACTATGCGCTGAGGAGTTGTGAGGGCAATCGTCCCACCACCACCACCCAGATCAGGATGATTCTCCTCTTTGCCACCACACCCTTGAAATGACCCGGCGTTTTTCCCTCATGCTCCACTGTTTTGGCCACCACTCGCGCCATTTGGTCCCATCGCATGATCGCGCTCCATCGATGTCAACGACAGCTCAACCCGCAGCGTCCTGTTCGCCGTCTCCATAATCATAAAGGCATGTTTCAGAAACGGATCCTCGTCCGTCGCGGCGTTGCTCGCAGAGGCACTCGTACTCCGTTCGCCCTGCGCCGACGCCGTGCTCTCTGGTTGCACGCTCCCGGCCCTCCTCGTCAGATGCTCAAGGTTCGCAAACAAATGGGCTTCGGGCGTCAGTCCACCGTCTCGGATCAGCTGCTGCTTCTTGGCCTCCTTCAACTCGTCGGTGCTGCTCGCAGCCACAAGCAACAGGAGAAGACACAGTCGCACAGGCCGGGACGTTGCGGCATCCCTCGTCAGTTGCCGCACACCATCCAGGTATTTCCTGAGGAGTTTGAGCCCAACGGCGATGTCTTGTTCCACCCCCCGCACCTCCGCCAGTCGCTTCTCCCATTACTGTGCCACAAGCCTCGCGCAAAAAATCGATGTGCAGCGACAGTTTGGCTTGCCTCTCCCGAAACTCCGGCGGAGCCCGCACCGCACTGCCCAACTCCGCAAGATTGGCCTTCGGCTCCACGTCCTGCGCCAATCCCGGGTGATACACGTGGAGTTTTTTCAGCGCCGCCGAAAGCTCCTCCACGCACTGCGCAAGGAATCAATGACGGTAGGAGCACCAGTATACATCTTCCTCATCAATTACTGCCGCTTCGAGCCCAAACCCAGAAAATTCCTACAGGTCTGCTCATATAAGTTATTCTCCAGCGGCATCAGGTCATCAAGCAGAAACTGACATGTGCGTTGGTGCATCAGCGGCGTCACCGTGACACAGCCCCAATCAACGATGATCCGCACCGGGTTGCCGCGGCTGTCGGCGCCCCTAAGCAAAATCCGGCTCGTCGTAGCAGAGCCTGAAAAGCCCTCAAAAAAGGTCCCGACAAACCCATGGCAGATGCTGCCTCTGTTTTGGTGGCGAATAACAGGCACACCGTTGTTCATGGCGTGAAAAGCCGCCACAATAAGTGACTCAGCAACGTTCAAAACGGACTCTCGAGTCGGCGGCGACAGCGGCGACAGCAGCTGAGGGAACCCATTCCGCATGCTGAGGTGGAACACCAGCACCTCAGGGGCGGCGAAGTCTAACATAGTGTCCTTCAAACGCATCGCCCTCGGCGCTATCCGAGCCCACTCGAGTTGCTGAGGACTGCGATGCGGGGTGCGCACCAGCGCAAAGATGTGTGCATCCCTGTACGGGACCTTTGCAATCCAATCCTCAGCCACGCGGCTCACGGACGCATCCTCCACGGCAAAAAAGTAGCGCGCAGGGCTGCTGATAATCGGCTGCCGCGGCGTCATGAGGTCCTCGAGCAGCGTCACGCCGTGCTTCATGAGATCATGAAGACGCAGTGAGCAGTTTAGCACAGACGCAGCATGTGCATCGCAGAAAAAAACTTTGGACAATCCATGAACGACGTCAAGCATCTGATGGAATATATAATCCCGCACACAACCACAAACGCCATTGCTGGACTCACGGGGCTGCCAGCTTCCGTCGGCCTTGCTCGCACCAACCCGCCCCGCATACCATGTCAAGTAGAAGTCACACAGACAATGTGCTTGGATATGCGTGTGTGTGTCTTGTGTGCGCACATTTGACTCGCATCGTTCTGTGTGTATGTGAGTCTCAGAAAATCGAACAAGCACACAAGCAATGCCATACGACCATCTGGTGGCCCCCACATCGGCAACCAACACAAGAAGAGCAGTGCGCATCGGAAGTACCACCAATTTCAAACACAAAGTCAGACGGAGTACACACAGCACATGCATATGGAGAAAGGGACCCATTGAAATGGATCGTTTTTCTATTGGGCTTCCAATGCTGGGTGCAGGCCAAGCAGAAGGAGGCGCAGTCCCCTTGCAGCGAAACGCCGACCACACCGCAAATCCATAGAGTGTTGCCACGGCGGCAGCAGAGGCAAGCAGAAGAAGCAGCGGGCAGGGACAAGCAGCAGCAACAATGTCATCACCGGGAGTCGGGGACGGGCCTGCTCGCCGTCCGTCTCGCTGCTTCGATCCCTGCCGCCGAGAGAAGATTCTCGCGGTCTGTCGGGGCATCCTGGCCGGATCCACTTCTCCTCTTTCAACGGATTCTTCTGGGGAACAGCCGTGTCTACATCCTTCGGTGGTGTGCCGTGGTCGGTCTCAATGCTCCCCGCAACGGTGACGGATGCCCCTGGCAATCCTTGTTCATTAGCTGCCGGTGAAACCGTCCTGCTCCACATGCTCTCTCCTCGCCGTCCCACGGAACCACTGGAAGTAGGCCGCCGCTGGTGGCGGATATCGTGCACACCTGCGCGTGGTCACGGCAAATAGCGTTTCCCCCAGCGCAGGGTCGAGCGGCCCACGCAATCGTCGCCCCGTCCGTGCATGGAACACAACGGACGTTGCCCTTTTCAGTCACTTCCAAATGCACCTGCATACAGAGGCACCTCAATGCCGCATGCGCTACAGCACTTAGGTTTGTCTCCTCCGGGTTCCTCGCATCCGTCGTGTTGGTGAAAAACGTGTCCAGACACCACAAAGAGGGCTCATCCCCAGGCATCGCAGACAAATATTCTCCCCTCCCAAATAACAGCCTCAACATCCCCCACATCCAGTGCGGGATCACTGATGGGGCAACTGTCCGTCGGGCGTTTTGCTGACATTTCATGGATACTCCGTCTACACACCAACCGCTGGAATACCGTTCCGACGCGCAGTATCTGGTAGAAACGCCCAATGCGCAGAGCATGTAGCAATATTCACTCATGTTCAGTGCGGAGCACTTCCTCTGCAGCAGCCGGCGCCTCCAATTGGTGCCATCCGCTCATCCCTCGCGTGGCGCTGTGACCAGTGCGACTCCAGCGTCCTTCCGTCCCCATCGTCATCCTGCAGCTCCATGCCATCAATGTCGTCGCAGTCGTGGTGCTCCCTGCAGGCATCGCGGCACTCGTCGAGTGCACCACCGCCAACAGCGCTCTGCCACGCACACCGGCAACATTCCTTACCATGCTGCGGCCTGCCATGTCCGGGCAGGTGAACCCGAGAGCATGGGCCAACAGGTGCGCGGCGATGCGGGTGGCGATGCATCCGTGAAATAAAACTGACAGAAAAAGTGCATGGCGCCGGCGATGGGACGGCCATCCTCCAGCGTGGCGCACGGCAGTACCCACACACCGCCAAACGCCGCAGCCACGTGCAGCACCATGACAGCATTGAAAACACCAGTGGAACAATGCCCAGCAGGCGCCGTGAACCGACTGCAAACACTGCCCGTGGCAAATGAGGACACAGTCAGCGGACCCTCCAGTGGCTGGAAGAACAGACGATCCGCATGCAGTTTGAAGGCAGTAGGGACAGTCTCCTCGGCAAGAGCGTTCTCGTGTGCGGAGGATAGAACACCATCCTCACAGTGGCTATTGTCATTCAATGAATTCATTGCGTGAGACAAGGAGAATACGCAGTCCTTCCTGATGCCACACGGGTTCGTTGTTGACGTCTTAATGCGGAAGGGCACCCATCGGGCCTTCCAAAAAAAGCTCCACACCTGCAACGCATCCAGCGCCCTGAGATGCATTTTCCTCACCGTAACCGAAATAAACCTCGCTGTGGGAGCGCTCCACATCGTCACGAAATAAGGAATACTTCAGGATGAAAGCAAGACACCCGCCGACAAATCACATCGCACAGATCATCAATAGCAGCACCAGAGGCGATGCAGACCGCATGGTGACGTGAATCAAAGGACTCATTTCATAAGCCAAAAACAATCTTAATGAGTTTACAAGAATACAAGAAACTGGTGCTTCCTCAACAAAAACAAAAACATATATATAAAAGAAAAATCCATTGTCCGCATCCAAAGCATGCAGCCGATCAGAAAGTGCAATGTGCGCACTCAATCACGGCACAATTAAAACAATAAAACAAGAACAATGAAACGAAGCGTGGGACGACCAGCACACACACACTCTCATTACTCCCGTAAAGCAAAACACACACACAGAGGGAGAGAGAGAGAGGTCGCCCACTCAATGCAATAAAAACAAAACAGAAACAGTTACGGTGCTCCGCCCATGCAGCCAGGCAGGACGGCAGCGGTGCGTGTCGTGCAAAAGAGAGCACCAACGGGCCTGCATGGGTGTGCATGCATATATACAATGGGCACATTATTGTGTGCTTCGTGGGGTGAGGTGAGGGCGAGAGTCCATGCAAGGGGACACACACACACACACAGAGAGAGAAGGAAGAGTGTGTGTGCGGGCGGTGCACGGCTCTCTCACACTCACTCTCACGCGGCCACCACCGCAGCCGCAGCAGCACACGCAACAAGAAGAAGCAAAAGAGGGGAGGTGGTGTGCGAGACCGCGGTGCTGCCGTCACTGTCACTGTCGGCAGTCATCGTGGTATTTTTCGTTACATCGGCTTCGAGTGGTGTTTCCTTCGTGTTATTCCCGTGCTTCTCTTCACCTTCTTCTTCTTTCTTTTTGGCGTTGAATTCCGGTGCATTCTTCGGCATCACCACTGTACTGCCATTTTCAGCCTCACTATTTGCAGTATCGGTGGCAGCTGAGGTTGATTGTGGCCCTTCTGTTGGATTTGCTGGTGAATCATCCGCTGGTATTCCCGGTGTTGATCCCATTTCTGCTGCTTCGACCTTTGAGGTTTCTGGAGTTGGCGTTGCCACCGGTGCTTCCGCATCAGTCAACGGTTCGGTTAGCGGTGTTGAGGTATCGACGGCCTCCTCTGGATCTCCAGTGTATTTCTTGCAAATCTCGTCAGATTCGGAATCACGAGATTCACTCGGCGTCTCATTATAATAATAGCCGCAAATCTCCTTCATCGGACCATGCATACAGTTCTTAAACGCTGACTTATCCAACTTTCCTCCCTGCGTATTTTTTTTCTTGCATGCCTGCGGACATCAATATACAAAATTAAAACCATATTCCCATCCGCATCACCATCACCCTCCGCCTCCACCGCAGCACCGCACCACAGCACGCAGAGGGCACACACCAGCAGCACACGGTTAGTCATCATCATCGCCATCACTCCTGTCACTTGCGTGTAGCCTTCAGCACAAACTACCCGTCAACGCAGAGTGAAAGAAAAAAATGACACGGAACAGCAAAAAACACCGTCCCATCCAGCAATGAGAGTCACACACCACAACAAATGAATACGGCACAAATCCAAAACTCGCACAACAACCTGCATGAAAAAAATTGGAAATAAAAAAAAATATTTTAAAAAACGCACACAAGGCTCCACCGCATGCGCATGCGGCGAGAGCGGTCCGTCGTGCCGGCACCCCTCACGGAGGGCACGCACACACACAAGAGGAGGTGCAGCGCACGCAGCAGCACAAAAGCAAAGTAACAATTAAAAATGAGATTCCCGCACACCACGCGAATTGTTGGCCCACGGGAAGTGCAGCCAATATCCATCACGATAACAATACAGTTGCCTTTGGCCTTCATTCATATTCGGCGCACTCCACACGCAGGCTTTCCTTCTGGGAGACTCCTGATCGTGCGTTGCCCCATACGCGCGAGTGTCCCGATGGCCTCCGTCCACGCTGTCCCCATGTCACACGACTCCTACACCCTCTGGCCATTCTCGCAGTCAACAATCATGAGAAGTGATCCCTCCCACTCGGTGACGCGGGAGGTTTCGCATTCCGCAGGGGAAATGTCCCCAAAGAGCGCCCAGATACTGCCGTTGTCCGTCGAATACACGATCATGGAGCAAACGTCTTCCGCTTCATTCACCGTCATCAGAGGAAACACAAGCATGCCATCCCCCATCACAACACCTGCACCACCAGAAGCAATGAAATCCGTCCATTAGCCTTCGTGAGAAGCAGAAGAGATCAGCTTCGAGAGTGGTTTGGGGTCGCCCCATTCGATCCGTCCACTCCGCTTTCCACCCGTGGGATTCGTGACATCACCCACAAACAGCTTCAGCTCCAAGCCGCCATCTCTCCAGCACCCACCTTCGTAGGACACATCAGAGCCTCCCGCAAGAGGAAACGCTCCGTGGCCCCTCGTGATTGTTGTGCGGCGGAGCACAACACCCAAACTCTCCTCTCCCTCCGCTGCACCAAGCACAGTGTCTGCGCTCCATGCATCCTTTCATTGACCCCACCAACAACAGTGGACCAACCCCACGCAGAGTCGATGCACCCCGCAACTACATCAGAAGAAAAGGGCCTACTTAATTGACCAGCTTGATATTCGGCATACATGTGACCTTCGGCGAAAGCAGCAATTACTCCACCAGCACTGACGAGAGAGGGTGAAGCAAACGAATCCCTCGTCGTAACTGGAACAATCCCATCCTTCGGCTGCACCAGCGTCGTCTGCGGTACAAATAGAACAACTCCATGCGGCAACTCAACGTTTATTGAACCACTCATCGCATCATCAATGGGATTCCCCTGCGGCTCGGTGACAGGCGTGGGCCTTCTTTCAGATGGTATCGGAGCCACTTTTGTGTTCCGAACAAAGGCAAACTCAGGCCTCGTCTCGGGCGTGTTGGTCGCCGTGTTGGACGCGGGAATCGGATCGACGGCGTTGGGTCCGTCAACCGCCGCAGACCATCGCCAATCCTCGTTCTGATGTGACGGCTCAGCATTAACTTGCGGCGCAGTTGTCCCACCAGATTTTGTGTCATCCTTCTCTTCACGGGGTGGCGGCAACTGACAGATGCCCGTCCGGTCAGCATCGCTGCTCCGTGCAGGCGGATGGATGGTTCCATCGGGGGAAATTGACGCCGCCACAATTCATAAGGGCCGGCGTATTTATGTGTCGTCACATTCATCGTGAAGGCAACGGTGGCCCCTTCCTCTTTCGTTGCACAGCTGGCAGCACAGTTGCTACATGTGTGCACCGCATTGGCCACATGACACACAGCACCCAGCTCACCATCTCTGCTATGTATGCGCACATCAAAGCCACTGAAAGTATAATTCTCCTACTGAGCCTCAGCACTGGCTGCAGAACACTTCCTCCACGCCCACAAACACCCAAGCACGCGATAGCTCAGGCTGCCGTCACTCGGAGCACACGACACATCCACCGGCACAGCCACCGCATCCGCATCACCAGATACATGTCCAGCACTCCCAGCAGCAGCACAAGAGCGCAAGGAACAACACGGCGCATACCTCACGGCGCCGCACCGTCATCATCGCGGCCATCGTCACCCGTGGTGGAGTCGCTGGAGTCAGTGAGCTGATCCGTGAGCCAAAAGGAAAAGAATGCAACGAGAGGGAGAGGGACGGAGTGCAACAGATACAGCGAGAGAGACAGCAGACAACATGAGGAAAGGGCAGGAGGCCCAGCCGCACAGTTCACACATCACGAGACGGCATCCACGCAAGGAAGGCACACAACGCCAGCAGCCACCCACCATGCAGGAGGAGAAGACATCCACCACCATCTCCCCCAGCTCATTCCCACAGCCCCAGGGAAATGGCAAAAACCCGCGGCCACCACACAACGCACACGGAGCAAGCGATCCCTCATCCATCCATGACGCGGCAAAAAATTTCCTGCCATCCCGCCATCAATGGGACACGGAGCCCAACTCAACGCGGCCGCACGCGGTGCATCAAACCCGCAGGAAAATAGACTCGCGGTCCGCGTACCCTCCTCACTTCTCCTCATGGCCACGGAAGAGGACAACAGCCGCCACACGCAGCTGCCAGCATGCACTGCAAAAGAAGCATTCAAATCCACTGCAATGTGCATCTTGTGTGTGTGGTTGTGTGCCTGCAGAAACACAAAGCAAAGAAGTAAAAAAGAGAGCAGAGTATGTGGAGGGACGCACAAAAATGTACAGCGGAGACGCATGGCGGAAACAACAAGAATAAGACCGCTCAAACTCATGACTGCACTGCAGCCCAAGCAGCGGCAATCCACACAAGATTTATTTAAAACAGGAAAAAAAAACATCCCCTTCGTCTTATACAAACCCCATCACACAAAATAATTATAAATGAAAAAGAAATCGTCCATTACTGTTCCACACAAATTTAAAAACCGCCTAACTACCATCTTGCTCCAGAAATTGTCTGCATATTTTGTCCAAAATAAAATTGAAAAGATATTTAAATGTCTTTCAGCCGTCTGACCCTCCGCGTGTCCGCACATCGTTTATATTTCATGGGGCCATCGGCGTGCTGCTGCTCCCCTCAGCCCTCTCATCGGCGTGCGAGTGCGGCCCGCAGAGCACAGTCACTCGTGTGTGTGGGGACTGAGAGAAGCACGCAGAAATGACGGCGGTCGCGTCTCTTCATCGGGAGAGTGAGCGCAGCAAAAGAAAAAAATCATCAGGAGAGAAATGCTGACGGGACTGCCAGCGCGTGAAATGAACACAAAAACAAAACAAAAACAAAAGAACACGGCGGCAGGGTGTGGCTGTGTGCGTGGCGCTGCGGGTGTCTGCCCGCCCTCGCCGCAAACAAACAAAACAAGAGGGAAGAAATGTGTGCTCCGCTCCACAGGCCCTCGTCGCACGCCCACACGTCACGGCTCCCGCAGCGCGCCGTTCGTCGCGGCCCCGCCTCATGCGTGCAGCAGGCGAGGCGCACAGGGCCGTCGTCATGAGCGTGTCGGTGGGTGTGCGAGTGGAGCAGTTGGGCGGAAACACACGGCACCCCTCACTGGAAGAGTGCAGCAACAAACAAAGAGGGAAGAGTAGAAAAGAAAAAAAACGTCCATAGTGATTGCCCCAAAAGCAAAAAAGAGAAGGTATGGGGGATGAGAAATAATAATAATAATAAACAATAGAAAACAAAAAAAAAATTAAAAAAAGAACACACACTCGCACACACGCTCAACACGCAAAAAAAAAAATGATGAATTACAAAAAACGCACGTAAAGAAAAGAAAATTATCTTTAAAAAAAGTTAGTTCTTGGAATTAATTCCGTGCTGGGGATGCCGCAATTGCCCCACGCGGCAGCCATTCACTCCTCACAGAGCTGCAAACCCCCATAGTCCCAACAGAAGAAGCAGAAGCAGCATTCCGCTTCTGCAAACAGTGCACGCATCACCCGTTGATTCTCCAACGGCATGGGAGTTCCAACCCACGAACACGTGCTCTGTGTTGGCAGATTCCCCCACCGTTGCATTTTGCCCTGCTTTACTTTCTTTTTGAGGCTGCTGCAAGGTCGTTTGAACCACTGGAGCTTCAGAAGTTTTGCCTGCAATGGACGCTTCTGCATGAGATTCTTCTGCAATGGACGCTTCTGCATGAGATTCTTCTGCGGTGGACGCTTGTGCATGAGGTTCTTCGGTAGAAGACGCTGCTGCACGTGGTTCCTCTTCATGAGGTTGACCTGGGGAATACGCTTCTGCATGAGGTTCTTCTGCAGGAGACGCTTGTGCTTTACTTTCTGCATGAGGTTGACCTGGGGAATACGCTTCTGCATGAGGTTCTTCTGCAGGGGACAACGCCGGAGCAGCCACAGACACTTCTACTTGCTCCTCTTGCTCTTCTCCTTTGTCATCCTCCAACACACTCGGAATGACAAGACTGCTGCCGTTGGCGGCAATGGTGCAGACCTCAACGTACTTCGGGCACTTGATCTTCCCATCTTTCTTAAAATCTTTCAACGTCACTGAGATTTCAGTGTCCTCAGGGCAAGGCTGAAAACCGCTGCTGCCGAGGTACTTCACCTTCACTGTGCCCTCTCCACACAACACCTGCGCGCACACTCCTTTGACGTTTTTATTTTTACCGTCCTTCGTCTCCAGTAATTCCGCGTCCAGGCACCACGAGTCACCGCCAGTCAGCGACCCAGGGAGATAATCCACATTTTCGTCCGAGCACGTCCTGTACTTTATCCCAGACGATTTTTCGTGAAAGTACGAAGAAACAACAGGGCAAAGGTCCTTTTCCGCCAGACTCCCCTCGTTTTCAACGATGGTTGCGGTGCACGTCCCAACGTGACGGCGGTCGGAGGTGCAGCGGAGCGTCTCTTTGTCGGAGTCATTGCAGAACATGTGGGGATACTTGCCGGCAAGATTCTCGGTTGCATTGCAGTTCTTCTCCAGGAAGTCGCAGCCGGTGCTGTTGCCCCAGCCCATCGGCTCCGCCATGCTCCAGTTCACGCTGTAGTATCCCATATCCGCAAACACCGCCATCGTCAGCGCCGTGTAGTAGCCGGCACCAACTGTGGGAGCCATCAGCTCGTCCCGCGCGTGGCGTCCCTTCCAGTGAGGGATCGCCTTTTCCCGAGTGCCGCCTTCGTCCTCCAACTCCATGCCCTCGAGAGTCTCACAGCCAAAGTGCGCTTTCGCCTTCGCCTGAACGTGATCCCCTGCCACCATCCTGCGGACCTTATCACGCACAATGTTAGCTGAATTCTTCAATATGCTCTTTTCATCCATACTCTCTTTACTAAACCCAAGTGCATGCGCAATTTCGTGTGCGGCAACGCGAACGCTCCACGCCGTGTCAGTCATGTACTTTGGATCAAAGTTCATGGCGCCAATGGAGGGGCGAAGATCTTCCCATTTGTTACACGTTGCCGCCCACACAACCCTGCTCTTCGTGCCTGATGGCCCAGCAAAAGCGTAGATGATAAAGTCAGCAGCCACGCCGTATCTCCTGTGCTCAACAGGAAGCGTAAAGTGGTTGCACGGTTCATTCAAAGTATTCGGCACGGTTATGTTCCTTCCAGTGGGTTTCACAAGTAGTCGCTCAGAGTGCAGTTTGACAGCACCGGGAAGAATCTTCTCAGTGTACAATTGTTTCTTTGCTTCCGACAATACATGCTCTTCTTTACAAGTTATCTGCTCCCCCAAGAGGTTGTCGCACTCAACCCCAACCCTTTGGCAGTACGTCTCTTTCCTCCTCGTGCTCTTCAGTCCATCCGTGAACACCTCGATGCGGATCGGCTCCCAGCCGCTGTTGTCATCCTGTGTGGCGACGGTGTACGCCTGCATGGTTCCCTGTCCCTTGCGCGGCACCTCGCGCACCACCGCAGTCGAAAGCGGGCCGCTCCTCATCATCTCGTCCAATCCACGGCGGTATTGTGTGGCGGGTGTAGCGGCAATACACGCAGTGGCGCAGCACATCAGCAGCAAAACCAGCAATGGGAGTGGCGGCGTGGCATGGCGTGGCTGGCGCATGGCCTGAGAAATATGCATTTCTTTTCTTCGTGTGAGTAGCAGCAGTGCAGCCTGGCTGTGGGGGAGAGATAGAAAGAACAAAGAGGGAGAAGAAAAAGGAAGTGGTTTATTGCCAGTAATGCGTCAAAATGCGGCACATGCAGCGGAGTAACAGGACACCACAGAGACAGCCATGCACACCGCGTGCGCATCAAACCCATTAAAGGGACAAACCGTCTATCCGTCGTTGACTGAGCGTCCATCGCCGTCGCACACATTCCTTATCGGCCGCAACGTTCCCTCCACGCGGAGTGTTTCGTCTGCTCTCCTCGCGGCGTGGCAACAATTGTGTGACCGGCCACTTAACAGCCACCAATTGCGCAGCGCCCGTCACAGGTGCGGGAGCATCGCACAGCGTCCGCTCTTTCTATTCCGAGAGCTCATAGGGGTAACGCCACCGCACGGTAACCTCATTATAATGGGCAGCCCTGAGGCGGAGATGGAAAGAGTCGTGCAAACAAATATATTTTTACTCTTTCTTGCGGTGCTCAAAAACAAGCGTGACGGCGTTGCAATTATCATGACGGTTCCTTCCCGCAATGCCACTGGCCAAGGAGTCACTGTGAACTCACTGCGTGGAAGTCACCGTGTTCGCCGTTACTCCCTCCAACTACCCACGACCACGCCGGCCATTCCCACACGGCGGATATGAGCGTTGCCAAAGACAGCTACAAGCACCAACACACCGGGCTCCACAGTGCCCTCCATCGCCATCCGCAGCGTGCATGCGTGCTTTTTCAGCGTACACACCGCTCCACAGCGTGTGCAACATGGCTTGTCTGTGTGTGTATTTGAGTGTTTGTCAGCGCCTATACTTGCGGAGCAACTGTGCGGCACAAGAGAGTCTGAAGAAAGCAACGGCAGAGAGAGGCAGATAGCACACACGCTAATTACTCATATCATCACACACACACACACATACACGCAGCCGCGGAATGGGCGCCTCAACCACAAAATCAAAAAGGAAAACAAAACAAAAAGCCGAAGCGTGGGACGACCAGCGCACACACACTCTCATTACTCCCGTAAAGCAAAACACACACACAGAGGGAGAGAGAGAGAGGTCGCCCACTCAATGCAATGAAACAAAACAGAAACAGTTACGGTGCTCCGTCCATGCAGCCAGGCAGGACGGCAGCGGTGCGTGTCGTGCAAAAGAGAGCACCAACGGGCCTGCATGGGTGTGCATGCATATATACAATGGGCACATTATTGTGTGTGCCTCGTGGGGTGAGGTGAGGGCGAGAGTCCATGCAAGGGGACACACACACAGAGAGAAAGACGAGTGTGTGTGCGGGCGGTGCACGGCTCTCTCACACTCACTCTCACGCGGCCACCACCGCAGCCGCAGCCGCACACGCAAGAAGAAGAAGCAAAAGAGGGGAGGAGGAGTGGGAGACCCCGGTGCTGCCGTCACTGTTGACGTCCTTTGACTTATCGCCAGTTTGGACTTTATTTGTTGCTGCAACTTCTGGAGGTTGAACATTTTCAGTTGTCTTCATTCCAGTAAAGTTTTCCTGTTGAAGTGAAGGACTTCCATTTGGATATGAAGCCGGTGCTTCTTCTTGAATGCCAGTGGATGTCCCCTGCGTTTTAACTGGGGTGGATGCCGGATTTTCGTTATTGCTTTCTTTCACGTATTTTGGTTCTTGGGCATCGAGCAAATTCGTAGATATATCGGTGTTATGGCTGTTATTCCCCTTTCTGGTGTTTTTCTTCCATGTGGAGTCTGGAGCTGTGGCGTACCTGCGTTTGGTGATCCATTTTGGATCTTTCCATTCCCTTGTGCTTGTTTATTCAGATCCTTCGATGACTCTTCTGTTTGGTGAGCCTCTGATTTCCTGTCTTGCGTCCTTCGCTCTTCCAGAGGGAATGGATCCTCGTTCCCCTGCGCAGCGGCCCTGCCAACGTTGCCGCGTTCTGCTGCATTTTCATTAGGCAACGAGTGGTGCTCAGTCTCTGCTTCTTCTGCTGGCAATACTCCTTTTGGAGATGAACTCGGAGCATTGGATAGAATAATGTCTGTGGTCCCCTTGTCACCACCACCGTGAGGCGAAGAAATAACTCCAGAGGAAGAAGAACCAACAGAAGAACCACCAGGAGAAACAGCATCACTTCCAACAGATGGTGGTTGATGTGGCGGTGGTGGTAGAGCCTGATGTGGTGATTGTTCATGTGGTATTGATTGATTTCCGTTCTGTACACCATCTTGTGGCACCTGCGTCTTGTTTTCTCCCTCTTGGGTTTTCAACGGGACTTCTTCTTCAGATTCCAAGGATTCTTTTGCATGTAGGTGTTCAGATTTGTCATCTTTTTGTTGTTTTGGTGATAAAACTAAGGGGCCTGGTACTGGAGATGAATTTTTTGATTGTTTCGGTGGACTGTCACCACCACCACTCAAAGAAGCACCGGGTTCAGCGACAAGAACTTCATCTGCCTTCTCTTCGGCACATCTACCGCCGGCACCGCACCAAAACACGCAGAGGGCACACACCAGCAGCACACGGTCAGTCATCATCATCGCCATCACTCCTGTCACTTGCTTGTAGCCTTCAGCACAAACTAACAACACGTCAACGCAGAGTGAAAGCAAAGAGGAGAGAGACACGGCCTCTACAACACGCACCGTCCCATCCAGCAACGAGAGTCACGCACCACCGCAACACAACAATTAGGTGGGCGCAGTTCAACAACAATCAAAAAAAACAAAAAGGAGCGCTCCTCGACGCGCACCGTTCCTTACACCCCACAGTCACCATTGCTGCTATTCCCTCTCCTCAGACCCTCACAGGCAGTCCGTGATGCGCTCCCGCTGCGCTGCAACGTCCGCCAGCTCCTCCCTCAGTCCAGCAGCTCCGTGTCCTCCACGTCCCTCACAATCGCCGGCATGCCCCGGCCACGCAACACACACAGTGCCACAATGTCGTGCCGCCTCTCCTCTCCAATCATGAGCGCAGGGTCCAACTCGTACTGGCGCACGTGCTCCATGCGCTGCAACCACACACGGATCAGGTTGGCCGTCATGCACTGCATCTTGTTGTCGTCCTTCTGCTTGGAGCAGACCCTCGCATCCTCTCGATCCACGGCCCGGTGCTGCAAGAAGTACGGCGCAGCAACCGTGTGTGTGCCTCGTTTGGCGGCAGTCAGACTCCAACGCGTCCAGTGCAATGGGGCACGGCGGCAGCTCGTCCAGTAGGTTCGGCTTCTCCCTCTTCCATCTGTGCGTTGTTGTTGTTGCGGCAGGGCTGTGTGTGTGTGCCTGTTGCCGTGGATTGGAGTGTGTGTCGTGCGTGGTGTGCGGCGCACGGTGCATGCCTGGCTGCTGCCCTCTCCTCGTGTGGTGTGCCCTCTGTGTGTGTCTGCCGCACCTCTCGTCTCCCCTGTTGCTCTCCATGTCCCTCACTGTGCGGATCAGCTCCACACCACTGAACGACCACACTCACGATGGTGACGTGCCGTCTGCTGTGCGCCCTGTTGGTGCTCGCCCTGTGCTGCTGCCCGTCCGTGTGCCTTCACGACAGCGGTTGTTTCGGAAAAAGATGCCCCTGATGTACCCCCAACACCGCTAAAGGGGCCGGCTCCGGGGAAAATTTCCTCAGTTTCAAATCTCCCTAAAGTCTCGAACCAGGACATTGCCGGTGTCTCAGCTCAACCTGTTACGGCCGTTGCGGGAGGGGGATCAGGTGTGTTGTCCACTACACAAGATAAAATAGGAGCGCCTGGCCATTCATCTCCAGGAAGTGGGAACAACGATCTGCCACGTTCGACGGATATTCCCGATAATACGGTAGAAAAAAATACGGAGCATAATACGGAAGAGTCCATAACTAATAAAAAGGATAGGGTACAGACACCAAATACGACGAACAAAACCACCACGAGAACCACAACTACAACTACGACAACGACCACTACGACCACTACATCTACAGAGGCGCCAACCACGACGACCACCCGCGCACCGTCACGTCTTCGCGAAATCGACGGCAGCCTCAGCAGCTCTGCGTGGGTGTGTGCCCCGCTGCTGCTCGCCGTATGCGCTCTGGCGTACACCGCTGTGGGCTGAAGAGGTGTGTGCGGGCTGTGCGTGCCAGCACTCAGCCACGGGGACGTGTGTACGTCCACTGTGGTCCGATGTATAAAGTAAGAGTAATTATGATGATCGTTTTTGCTTTGTTTGCTTCCGCTGCCCTGCTGTGTGCTCCGCGTTGGTCCCACATCTGCCACGTTGAACGCGTCCCAGTCACACTCATATGCACGACATGCATGCAACTGTTTGCGTGGACGCGCCGTTGAGGGTAGTTGCATGCGCACTGGAGCCATTTGTGTGCAGGTTTCTGTTTCTTGTTTTTTTGTTTACTATTTTACTTTATTGCTGCGTGTTCGCATTTTTTGTTTTGCTTTTTTTGTGTTTTTTTCTCGTCGTTAAATTTTGACAGGGTGTTGTGCGTCTTTTGCACTTTCATTGGTTCAATATTTCTCATTAAACGCGTGCTGCCGGCGGTGTTTTTTACTGTGCCGTGTCTCTCTCCTCTTTGCTTTCACTCTGCGTTGACGGGGAGTTAGTTTGTGCTGAAGGCTACACGCAAGTGACAGGAGTGATGGCGATGATGATGACTAACCGTGTGCTGCTGGTGTGTGCCCTCAGCGTGCTGTGGTGCGGTGCTGCAGTGGTGGCGGTCGGTGATGTTATTGGAGAGGTCGGAATAAAAGACGAATCATCGAAGGCTCTACAGGTTGATTCTCAGGCGAGGGAAGCAGGAAAGAGGGACGTAAGTGGTCCCGAAGCAGTGGTGCCACGGTTGCATGAACAGCAAGGAAAGAATGCCCGCAAGAATGATGATTCGGCCATACAACCAACAAGACAATTCAAGGTAGAAGAAGATCGGGATCATTCTGAAGAAGAAGAAGAAAAGGAAAATGAAGGATCACTCGAAGGTACGGTGAAGGATGGAGAAGTATTACCATCGCCGGCCGAA